CTGCCTCAAGACAAACAACAGAGTTCAATTACTCACATACTATTGCTGTGTATGACAAATGTCAAATGAGAGTCCCAAGACAGTTATTTGATCTTAAAGCCAAAAGTAGTCAGTGGCCCATATTCAGTACTGTAACACATGGAAAGAGTCTAAACTTAAGTACAAACCGAAAAATATTTTCATCCATTCTGAAGACGATACTGACTAACAGCAGGAAACTGTAGAACCCTTCCTCTAAAGGATTTTCACTAAAGACTTACAGATAAAGCACTATCTGTCAGTTTTCCTAATTCTTCTTTAAACAAGTCCATCACTCAGCAGGCAGTTCTTGTTCTAGACATATACCTGAACCTAAACAGGTATCTTTTTGTGAGAAAGGAACATTCATACAATGTTGTATGAGCACATATGTCGGATCCCTTGATTTAAAGTATCAGGAAGACTATCTTAAGTTCAAGACTTAATAAAATAAATAAATCAGTAAAGTAATTCTACCAGTCTTGCTCTTCAGTTATGGGGCTTTCTAAGAACAGGCGGATACAGGTTCTTCTGTATGATAGATACAGAAAAACAATGCAAAGACTGACAAGAAGAGAAGTGCATAGTGCAGCACAAATTTGCTAGTTCAGCAGAGCTGCAAGACTCTACCGTAAATTTGAAGCACGGAAATATCACAGCAACTGCATCTGAAACATTCTTGCTTTCCCTAAAAATTTTTACTTGAATCTACAGTACTAACAGCAGAGCCAATGCAATACACAGTGTCCTAAGATTTTTGAGGAAGGGAAATAGATTCCATAAAAGACACACACTACAATAAGAGGACCCCAAACAAACTTAGAGACACAGCACTTCTGATGCCTTGTACAAAGATGACTGTAATAAAAGAACTAGCTCATTTTAATCCTTTGAAGGTTTTTGTTGGATTATATTTTTGGGAGGGGTGGAAAATATATTTTAATGAGCTTAATCACCACTGAGATGCAGAAATTCAAGATCATCTTAGTGTCAGATTCTCTCTCATGTTTTTTTTTTCAGTCATCTGTTTTGTACATTTCCAAATTATACCAGCCATCATAACACACATGCATGCACACACACCCCAACATCAGCATTTACAACATTTAACCAAAATTTAAACCCTACCATACACAGAAAAGCTGGTCATCTCTCCAACACAGAAACGAGTAAAATTTTGTTTGAGGCCCAAAATTCCCGAACACCTATTTAATAGCAAATTATTTGGAAATGTATTGAATAAAAAGCAAAAAATGGCTGGAAAGTAGGCAACACATTATGATGAAGTTAGAAAAACTAGATACAGCAAAAGGAGTGGCTCAGAAGGAAAAAGAAAAAATGTAACATGGCTTACCGCACGTGCCAGCTGATGGCCCAGGAACCACACCTGGCCTGTCATTTTTGCACACAGTCTAGCACTAAAAGACAGTGCCTTCACCATGCTGGAAGGGGTAGTGTTTAAATGGGACTGCCACCTGCTCCACCTGTCTTCATGTATACAGTCTGGCACTTCTACCTGGAAGATGACATTATGCTTACTACTCTTTCCTTGATGGGAAAAAGAGGGAGGTTCCCAAAGCTGAGTAGGTTCAGCTTGCCACTCATTGTGCTCCTTTTTCAGCCTACTGCCTTAAAAAAAGTTCATTAGACAGTATTACAGAGAAGTGGGATTCACTAAAATATTACTGAAATTATTTAAGTATATGTTCAGCTGCAAGCAGGAAACTAATCCCAGTGACTTCAAAGTTAAGGCATCTGTTAAAGTTGGTTTTGGGAATTAGGCCAGAGAAAAAGAGCAAAAAGGAAGGAAGTGACCTACTTGAATGAAAGACTCATTCTGAGGTTTGTATGTTCAGATTCCCCCAAAAGAGGCTGACAAGAGGTATTTGCATATATTTCCTTAACTACAAATCGTGAAACGTCACATAGTATAACTCTCGATTAACCCATTTGGTTCACAAAGGTTATTCATACTCATATATACTCAAGATTTTTTCCACTATCCTTCCATTCACTGCCTATTTCTGTTCACCCAAGAAAGTGTTTCCTAAGTTTACCCAAATGCTTGAAAAACAAGAGTAGAGACTAAAACCAAAATGGCGGCTTAGCTGCATTAAAAGGATGAGTAGTTTGAGTGAAAACAATCTGTGCTATAGACATTTAGAGATCTTTCTAACATGTTTAAATTCTATTTTAAAAAATGGCCAGGATCTGGAGTCCTGATGACTCTTCAACTTCTTTTGCCTTTCTTCATCTTGTTAACTCAGTCAGAAGCTGCCAATGAACTCTAAAAACTATGTAATAAAAGCTTTAGCAGGATTCTAATTTTGGTCACAGATAACCAAGTATAGTAATTCTAGATAATATTAGCTGAGATTTATGATGCATTCAACATCTTCAGATGCACAAGAGTATTTTTGGGCATCACTTGAACAGACAATGTTCAATGTACAGCTGGTAAATTTTACTTCTCTTTTTTCTCCTATTTCTATACAAGAAGTACATGCGTGCTGCATTTTATCTCAATTTTCTTCTAAAGGATCTATTTCTTCAGCAAGAGAAAAGACAAGTCTAGTCAAGCCTCACTTTCAAGACATCAGAAGATCAAACTATAGCTATTTTTGAGAATGGAAGTTAGATATACGATCGTCACTTCTCTGAGCAAGACATACCAATAGTTAGAGGAAGACCTGCCCTCCTGGTCCAACTTGGGATAAGAAAAGTTGGTCAATGCAATGCTGGTGTATCATTTCTAAACTACAAAAAAAACCCAATTGTTTGTTTTACCTACCACTATCAAAATCTCTTATCCCAAGAAGAAAGAGCACCTCAAAAAGCCTAGATCAAGTTCTTGGCAATGGAACTGCTCTTACTTCTATATACTTCCCAACTTACGTCAAGCCTGAGAACTTCTATATTCCACTTATCCCAAACTAGGCGTTTGCCAGTGACTACAGTTCTTGTTCAAAGATGGTAAGATAGTCACCTTGAAAAAAAATTTTTTTAAACATTTTTAGAAAACTACATTGGGACACTGCTTCTTTATCGCCTCTTCAACTGACTGATGAAGGGATCAAACACAAGAACCTCAACTTTTACCGATAAGTGTAAAAAGATGAAATACTGAAAAGCAAAGAGGAAAGAGCTCTTTACATCTTGCTGGGTCCTTGCCATCACATTTCCAACAGGTAGCAGAAACTATTTCTATAGCACTATGCCTCTATTCTGTATGGCTATCACCGCTTGGATTCTAAGATCTCCTATCAAGCTGGTTTCGCTGAACAAAATACATCTCCTGCTCACTGTTAACACAAGGTGGTCTAGAAGTCTTGAACCCATCCTTCTTACTTGCATCAGAGGACTGAACCAAGAAGCTTAAAAAGTCATTGGGTATTACTGTAAACTTGGAAGTGTTTTCCAAGTGATACTGAATATAACAAAATACTAGCTACCTGTAGAATGATTGAAGTGAGCGAAAGACGAGCCAGTTGCTACAGTTCGTTCCCAATTCTGAGTAGAGATATAGGACAATGTGAAGAGGGACTTTAGGAAGAATGTTTTTTTAATCACAGCAATCTAAAACAGATCACTGCTTCCTTGTTATCCATGCATTTCCACAGACTGGTTGAAGATTTGTTTCCAAGCACAGGATACCATACTGTCAGTCTGACTTGAAAGAGTATTTCTATTGCTAATCTAGAAGTCTTTCCTTTAGCTTCAGATGACCACCTGTTATCAGCACAGACATGTAAGTTCAAAGGACTCTATGGCCAACCAACCCAAAATTCAAACTATTACGATGTTCTTCATTTAGCCCCATTACACTGTATCTTTCTGTGTTTATTAAGCACTGAGAGCAGAAGAACCTTTAAAGCAACACCAAGATCTTGGCCAAGGCTAGGTCCACCTTACACAGGGTGCCTGGGTGGAAGATGGGATCAGAAGGAACATGTCACACAGCAGCAGTCAGATTTCTGGAGAGCAGGTAAATATGTAAACAGGCATATAGGCTCCAGTGCTCGGAGGCTAAGCATCTATTTCTGCTGTTCCATCTGGACACATCATTAGGCAGAATGGAGCTATGGCCAACCTAAGAACAATCTGTGGGTATCCTGGTCAGCCTGACATGCTTCCTAAACTGCATATATGGGTAATCATTAATCTGCTGCAAACTTACCACCAGCTCTATTACCAAAACAAGAACTAGTACTGGCTCAATCTTCACAGTAGGCTACAATGATACACATATCACATCTCAGTTATCAAGCACTCCAGAGAAAATGTCAATTATTTAAAGAAACTAAAGAGTAATCCAGACCAAGGATAAGAGTTTCTCATGTTTAATCAAACAGATCTCCAGTGCAGAGTAGCAATTTATACATGAATACTAGTCCATGAAGAAGTTGAGACTAGTTTTAAAATGGAAGCATCTTGAATAGTAAAAGCACACAATACAAATTACATAAACAACCCACAAACCTCATTTGGTTCAAAAAGTCTTCAAGTAAAACATTAGTTGGATTCTAGGAGATTACCTGGGGAAAATATCATGTATGCTTACTTTGGTTTTATACTTTCCTAGACACCTTATGTATGCTGGGCTTTTTGTTTACAGACAAGTGTTCCCTTTTTTAAGATATATAGGTATGTATGTACATACACACATACACTCTTAACACATACATATAAAATACTATATAAAAAAATGCCCTCTTTATGTATGTATACATATATGTATCTATGTATACAGTCATGCACACACATACAAAAAAAAAGTGTATCTATTTTTAAAGAGTATTTAATGGACTGCCATCTCCAACGATTACTGAAAACAACCCTGTTCACTTCAAATGGGTAATATCTCAACATAGACCAAGATCACATCAAACAGGAGAAAGGTCCTGATGCAGGGTCTTTCTTCAGTGCAATATTAGGGAGTAGGAATCTTTTTCTTACAGGTAGCCATACCCAGAGCTGCTTACCTGTGCCTAGTATTTTAGATCATCCTCTTGCGTTTACACTGGCTCCCTAATGACCTGTAGAAAAGCAGAGAAAAAGAAAGGGCGGCAAATACATTATCTCTGTCGTCTACAAGGGGACAAACTTTCTGGAGACCTTCAGTCTTGTGCCTTTAGCAGAATGACTGATAATGCTGTCTTAGTTTTCAATCCCCTCCGCAAAGCAACCAGATCTTTTTGGAAGCTGTTACTGTGCAGGCCCAGGGCAATTACATAAGATGTTATTTTAGTCGCGAACAACACATCAAATTTTGGATTCTGCTACTGTTGCAGATTAGCACAATGAAATTCTTCACCAGTTTTTGGCTAATGATGTCTAGGCGCTTGGGGACCATGATATGCTTCTTTATCCCTTTCCGGAAGCTGAATTTAAGGCTATTCAGACACTAAATTTTCTGGCCCCAGCTTCTTCCTATCAAGAGACATCCATGTCTTCTGTCTTCTTGAAAATCTGCTCAGATATAATGTTAATAGGAGCTCCTGATAGATTCTGAATGGTTTCAGAAGTTGCATTGCATGTTGGAAAAAGGATATGGAGTTAGATGGACCTTCGGTCTGACCCAATGACAGTTCTTATTATAGGAAAACTTACCTTATTAAAGAGCGCCCAAATACTTTCAGGTTTGTACTGGACTCAAGTGTTACGTAGCTAGGCTGTAGGACTTCACTGACAATGCAAGTAACAAGTTTTATCCATCAACATTGCATTTAACAAACAAATTGTGCATTAGTATATAACACTCCTGCACTGTGATACCAGATGCCAACTACAGAATTAAAATGAACGGCCTCTACAGATATCCTGGCTAGTCTTGTATTCAACACAAACAGGAAGTCATGTCCTGAGACCTCAAAACACCAAAGATTTCCTTCTGCCTATTTCAAAACAGCACTACATTCTCAAACAAGGAGGTTCACTTAACAAATTCACCTTTGCAGATTTCTCTGATCTAATGCTTAAGTACATAGCTACTTCTTAAAGTAAGTAAAATCCAAATAGAAACAGGCCATTTATATAAAAGCATTTGCATTTTGGAATTAGTGTCCCACCATGGTTCACAATCTTCTATCCAGAGAATTGTCCTTCCTGCT